AAACCCGGGGAGAGGGAGGGGGGAGGCGAGGCGAGACCGGCCGCCTCCTCCTCCTCCTCCTCCGCCTCCTCCTCCTCCTCCCGGCCCAGCCCAGCCCAGCCGCGGGGCGGGCAGGGGGCTGCAGGGAGCGGGGTTTGGGCTTGGCAAGGTGGGGGTGACCCGCGGTCCCCCAGCCCCGCTGCCTCCGGCTGGGTCCCTGCACCCCCGGGGAGGTCAGCCAGGAGCAAGGGCTTGCTCCGGCGCTGGCTGGGATGCGGAGGGTGTCCTGGCCTTGCCATGGGCTTCGCGGTGGCTTTGGGCAAGTCTCGGGACCCTTCAGTGGGGCTGTGGGTGCCTCCTCTGCCTTGGTGGGGCTGGATGTGTTGCTCTTCAAGGTGGGGGTGTTTCTGAGCTCCCCGGCTGGGGCTGCGAAAGGGGAAACCCCAACACAGCCCCGCAGCATCGCCTTAGCGTTGTGTCTTCCCTCCAGCCCTCCCTGGTGAGAAACCAGTGCTTCTGAGGCCGGTTTCTCTCTTATTTTTGAGGACAAACTCTTGTGTCTTTCTGAAGGGTAAAAGGAGCCTAAAACTGAAGGAAATGAGGGTTTGTAGAGTTCTGAGATGTGTCTGTTACATACAAGTAAGCTCAGAAAAGACTTGGGATTTTGGTACGTGCTTTTCAGCTTATGGGAATAAGGGTTAGAGAAGGTGGCCTTTCTCCTACTTGCTAGTGTGGAGTTTGGTCCAAAGGGATTTATTTGTCCTTGTCAGCGCTGGAATCCATCAGATCCAAATTAACTCACGTGGCAGTGGGTTTAGATGATTATTTTTTTGCCTTCTGTGTGATGGAACTCCTTGGATTTACACTTGATTGTGTTACCTTGCAGCGGTGCCTGCAGAAAAGGCAATATAAGGTGTTTACGCAAGAGCAGCAGACTGTGCATCCAGAAAAGATGGGATCTGTGTCAGAAAACTCTGTCCAGTCCAGCGGTGACAGGCAGCTGAGAGCCCTGGGTGATGAAAGCGATGGCTAGCACTCAGCTCTCCGGCACAGCAGCAGAGGAGGGAAATAGAGCAGGGACTAAGAGAGAAATTGTAGGCAATTCCTCTCTCCTGACAGACCTCTCCACGCACATCTACGTACTCCCAAAATTCAGCGACTGCCTGAGAAGTCTTCTGCCTTAAGGCAGCTGCAGACCAGAATCAAGGAGTCTCTTTTAACTTGGTGTTTATAACTCAGCAAAGTCAATCTGGGAGAAAGCTGCCTCTGACTGGCTCCCAGATCTTTTTGTGAGCAATTTTAACATAGAAATTGGAAGATATTAACTGTGAAAAATAATCGCCTGTGAAAAGCGTTCTGTTCCTAAAAATAAACTATCATCATTTGTCTGTACAGTATAGCCGTACTGAGTGCTCGGATGCAAAGCCCTAGGCTCTTTGACAGCAAAAGCCTGATGTATGATTTCATGAAAAGATTTTTTTTGCTGTAGGTTTTACAAGAATGTCTCAGATCTGACCTGTCACTCGATGTAATCAAACATCGGTGATTTCTGTACAGGTTACACGCCAACAAATGAGAATTCCCACAGTCTGCTCCTGCCAGGGAGTCAGCGCATTGCTTTCTTTTGCAAAATGATTAGAATTACCTCATTTCCTCTGGAGAAAGGAGGTTTGCAGAGCTAGGCATGTGAAATGTAACTCAGCGACACCAAAAAGACCTGCTTGCAGTTCACAGAGCTGCTCGGTGCAGAAAACAGCGATGATAGCTTCAAAGGCAAGACCGAATCGCCTTTGACACCTGCTTTGAGGTGTTCAGTGAGGGCCAAATCCTGAATTCCCAGTCCTTGGGGTTATAAAACATCTTCTCCTTGCAGGTGGGTAGAATTTCATTAGGGTTAATGGGCTACCACATGCAATGAGCTCGTTACAAGGTGCTTGCACAGGGTACTTATTAGTAGCCTGCTTGCTCTTGACTCCTTTCAACCCAGGACTGGGAAGAGGCTGGAGGTGGCTGATCCCTCTGCGTCCCGCTGCATCTCTGGATCATCCAGGCTTGGGGCCAGGCTGCTGAGAGCGGCCGGGCTCTCCAGCCATGGCTGGGTGGGGCCGGCGTGGGGGTGGGGCTTGTGGCTGAGAGTCAGCCCAGCAAAGGGGCTCCAGGGGAGAAAGGCTGCAGGCAGTGGGGGGGGAGAAGGGGGCAAAATGGGGGCAGAGGAAGCTGATGAGGAGGGAGAAGGCAAAGGTTGGGGAAGAAGAGGAGAAGGGGGCTGTCAGGGAAGGCGAGAGAAGGCAGAGGGAGCCTAGGCCAGAGGGGAGAGCGAGGAAGGGCTGGAGGAGGAGGATGAAATGAGGAAGGCCGTGCTCTGCCGTGGGCCCTCACGGAGAGGGGAGGTGAGGGAGGGCGCAGGGGGAGCACGGCCATGGGGAGGGAAGGGGATGGAGGGAGGGAAGGGGTGAGGTGGGGAAGGGATGGGAAAGGAGGGGAGGCTGCGGGAGGAGGAGGAGGGCGCCTGCGGGGCGGGATGGAGGGCTGGCGGCGGGGCCGGCGGAGGAGGAGCCGCGGCCGTGGGCGGAGGAAGGGATGCGGGAGGAGGGCAGGGAGGGCCGGGACCTGCGAGGCCG